CCCACAACCAGCCTTTCAGGTACAACAATGGAGAAGCCAGAAACTGATGATGGCCCATTAAGGGCAATCCACACTACAAAGGCCTACCCCAGGAACTGTATACAATGGAAACCTCTCAGAGATAGCATGTAGACGATGGAGACTGCTTGACTTACGGCACAGCAAAGGATCTTTCCAGCAAGGTGGAGAAGATATAAAAAGGGGGAAGTGACATCATCGCTTGTCCTCACTTCCCCCACAACTCCACACCTGGAAACACATCTGGAGAACAAAGACTGAACTGGAGAGGTGATCCCACGCTGGAGGGGATTTCCAGTCTGTGTATGGAAGATCTGTGACCTGCTTGTATTGTCTCTCAGGGTGAGAAACTGCTTGATTCAAATCCCGTGTAGTGTATAGAACACAGATTGCAATTTTACTTTTTATTTCTTAGGTAACCAACTTTGATCTGTATGCTTACTATGTATAATCACTAAAAATCTAGCTTTCTGTAGTTAATAAAGCTGTTTTATATGTTACCTAAAACAGTGGTGCTTGAGGAATATGCTCAGTGTACAAAAGCTGGTGCACATCCACTTTCTTTTGTAGAAGTGGTGGACTGAGTAACAAATTTACACTGGTCTGGCTTCTGACCAAGGCAAAACAGTATAGCTCTGGGGTCCTAGGCTGGGGAGCTGGGGGACTTGGCTGGAGCCTCTCTATTGTTAGTTCATTAGTGGCTAGAAGAAACATTCATGTAACTCGGTTGGGTGTGTCCCTGCCTGTGGATGGCTGTGTAAGTGTAGGATCTGGAGAGGATTGCAGCTTGTCACAGCATCACAGTGTGAAAGGGAGGCCAGGCTGGTATGCCAGAGGGCTCAGGGATACCCCACTTCCAGGTTGCATCCTGGGGAACCCATCACACTCACTCATTTAGAATTAATTTTATAGCAGTTTTTAAAGTTTTAAAGTTTCTCTTTTGGTCACCTGGACGCTGTATTGGTGTTTCTCATCCTTTTTCTTTAATCTTTGAGATTCTGGTTTGTTTCTTTCATTTTTCACATTTAGAAAGCAGGATCAAGTCCTGTTGTGGAAGTCCCTCTGAGATGCTATCTATAATATTATATAATTATAATAGTCACAGGCCATTCATTATGAGCCCAGCAAAAACCAGAATGGGTTCTGGGTACACCAGAGATACTTGATAGGAATAAACTTTTGCATGTGACCCTAAAAATTAAGATCAACTTCATTTAAATTTTACCTCTCTCTCTCTAGCCCATATACAAAATGAATTTTCTTTTTCTTTTTGTTGCTATGTTACTCTTGATTGATTATAGGGTTTGCTTTACCTGAGTTCTCATTTTTACTTATACAGTCTCACTTTTATTTTCCAATGTGTTGAGTGTCCTGAGCCGTCTTTGGCTTCTTTTTTTCTCAGCAGTCAACCAGCAAAGGGAAAAGGGAGAATCTAGAGTATGTGCTATGCTCCTGTCTTGGTCAGTTAGGATGATCTCTAAAAAATGTAATTAAGAACAATGGCATAGAGGGATAATATAACATAGAGTTAATTGATGATGATACTAAGTATTGTAGAATATAAATCAAACCCAGTGCAGGAACCCACACATACGTTGAAGTAAGCAATCTGCCTATAAATCAATATTGCTAATTCCCTGTATAATTAGTTATGTTTATTTCTAGTAAAATATGTTTTAATGAGGTGGTTCAACAGTGCTAATCAGATATAAACTCATTGTTAACTCCTTTGCAGGAATGACCTTGCTTATGTTGGTGGCTGGTGCAGGACGGTGTTTGATATTGCTCACAACAGCAGCTACCATAACTCATTGTTTCTTTTGCAGACTATGATGACTAGAAGTGTAGTTTCCCTGTTAGGCTGACTGATTCTAAAAACAATTTGGGGCCCTCCTGCAGATCAAATGAGCTTGAAAATTATTACCTCTTAGGTTGATACATAGTTTTCAGTCAAATATGACTTCTGAGTTTATCAACCCTAATTAGCAACGCATTTAATTTTAAATGTATTGAGGACAATACCGCAGTTGAGTTACCCATACTGAGAAATAGCACTAATTTCCTCCCATGCTACAACTAGCAGGAAATTTTGAAATGATTGCGAAGCTCACTAATGGGACAGTGACCTTTGGTTGTTTTTACATGTCTGTTAAGGATGAAACTGAATAACTGCATGATTAATTAAAAGGAGCAGCTGAAAATCCTGCATGGAGAATTTAAGGAATAAAGGGCCAAAGTTCATCACTAAAAATAGTAGCTGATTATTTATGCACCATGGCTTCTAGTACATTTGGTAAAGTGAAAATGTTGTCATTGATCATAGAACCACTGTGCTACAAGTGTGGCAACACATTTTTTTTATTTATTTAGAGTAAGATGTGTTAACATCCAGCATGACAAAATTTGTACAAAGTTCACAATTTAAAAATGAAGTATCACAGCAACTTGTGATTCCACACATTTATAGCAAAATTAAAATGTCAACAAATCCATGCCGTGTAGTACAAAAATAAATCAAACTTCAGTTCCACAGAGAGCACAATAAATAGTTTATACAAAATTCTGTCTTAATAAATGATTACTTAAATTAACTTAGAAATGAATATGAACAATAAGTTATAATAAATAAACTCTGACTCACAATAATTTCATATGAAAGGTCAGCATTCTAATATGTGACACTTTTGTGATCCCTATATAATAGTCACAGATAACTTCTGATTTGATATTATGTACCAACATTAGATGAGCAGCAGATTTGTGCTTAAAATCCCTTTCCATTGTACATAGGTGATAACAATAAGAATCCAAAACTGATACTATCTATTACTCTACTGAAAGCATTACTATATTGGCAAAGAAGCTGCAGACACAATGCAGTGGAAAAATGCATATGCCATTATGAACAATGAAAGCCCTAAAAGGAGGCTAGGGCAAAAGTACAATATATATGGCAGAAGGTGAACAACAAGCACCTTGCTTCAGCTCTCAAAAAGGCAATTCTGAGCATGGCAGCTACAACTAATAGCACAACAGAAAAAGGGCACTGTACAGATAAGACTGCAGAGCCCCCAAAGTAATTACATAATCTTTTCCCAGCTAGTTATTAAAGTCCTCATGGAAAACTGTAAGCTTTTGTACAGTGAATAGTATAAAGTGCCGCTGGGATATACATATATTTATACATATATATATATACCGAGGTTGAATATTGTATCAGAATATTTGTTGTGAGATCCCTGTAGTCTCCCTTAGCAATATTACTGGATTGGCCATAATGGCTTCCACTATAATTTGTTCAGGTTTAGTGTCACAAGGCTAATGACACAAGAAATTGCACACCTCCGTATGGATATATAGGGCAAGGTAAGTGCAAATAGTCAACTGGCACATTGTGGGGACAATGACCCTGTAAGTCCTGTTCTGCTAAAAATATTTTATTTTTTACAAAACCCATCTTTTTCATAACAAAATTTTAAAGTACTTTTGTACTTTCTGCATAACATCAAGACATGGAAGGAAAAGATATGCTATCAATTTCAAATAAATTCAACATCTGTAAAACACAACACATCAAAATTACTACTTAAAAAGGAAAAAATGTCGTAATAAAAAGTGGTCTTATGCATACATATAGTGCAGTCATTTTGAAGAAAACAATCAAATCTTGAAGGTACAAATAAGTTTTATCTTAAAATGATCCAGTTTAAAGCAAAAAAAGTGCTGAAGTATATTTAGTTACATTAAAATTTGATTGCATTCATTTTTGCAATAGATAATAGAACAAATATAAAGCATACATGAATGCTGCAGTAATGATTGTTCTCCAACAAAATGCAGAACATAAATATTAAAATATGAAAAATGGGATCAAATGCTTGGCAAAGCAAAAAGAAAAAAATCTTTACTGAGCTGCATTCCTACTAAAGCTAGCAATGAATCCAGTTCAGTAACTACAGTAGACACAAATCATTTGTCTTTATCCCAAAATTAAAGATGTAAAAAGGCAATATTAGTTTGAAAATATTGTCTTTCATCTTAAATTGAAAATACAGAGTTTCTGAAAGATGAACTACATTGCTATAAGACATAGTTCAGAGGGGCACTAAGCAGTCCAGGAGAGATAAGAGAATGTTGGTGCCAAAGTTTATTTGAAAATAAAAGCTGAAATCTTCAGGTTGTCCACCTCTGATATAGTTCCTTTCATAATGGAAGTTCCCATATTCATACCATGTAATGCTTAGAAGTTAATTAAAAAGTGCTGTTTAAGCTGCTTTGAATCTTCTGTCAAGTTTCCATGGCTTGATGTTGTCTTACAATAAATTACCCATTTTGTATCTTACATCTAATCCATGCCATTTTCTTGGATTTCAAAAAACCTCATTTTATTGCCCCCACCACACACCATCCTCTGAAAACAAAAGTCACATAATATTTTCAAGCATTGTTCAAAAATAAAGCATTTTTGCAACCAATTCTTGCTATGAAACAATATGCACACAAAATGTATTTCTTAAATCCCATAAAATCCTCCAACATGAGGCAAAATGATAGTGTTTAAAAAGTGGCTGCAGACCGCAACATTGTCATTCAAAGCTGTTTTTTTTGTCCATTTCAGTTCAAAATACTAAAACATTTAATCACTAAAGCATTAAAAAGAATTTACACTCTATTTATTTTGATCAGCTTACCTCTTCAGAAATATATATACCCCAAAAATGTGCATACATTAGCAGCTATAAACATTACATGGCATATCACACTATGTCAGCTTATATGAAAACGTACAAAATGTGAATGTATTCAAAAAACTATTCTGCAGTTACTATCTTTAAAGCAAGACATAAAATCATTATGAAGTCTTGTAAGCATAACACTGTTTCAAACAGAAATAAATATATAACACTTTCTGGTAAATTACAGCAGCAAAAAACAAGAGGCATCCTTTTTTTAAGCAAGACTTTCACCACTATAGCAGCTGTTCAGACCTGAATTCCTCTCACAGCCTGCTTTATATTTTCCAGTAGGGCTTTATTTTCTGGACTCTGATAACGATCTTGATTTGTATACATGTCCGTCAAAGTGGTCACGTAAGCATCAAAATTTTGTTCATTGATTGGTTCCTACGAGATATTAAATAGTAGTTCATATACAACTTTTATTTTCTTGATTGTATATTAATTTAAGCATAACATACTATCATATCATATTGCCACCATTTTTTATAACATTTAAAATGCCTATTTAGATCTTAATTTTACAGGATACATTGGAACAGGCCCACTGTGCCTTTGTTAGCAGTTAAATTTATCTTTATGGTTTCAGTGTTGTTACCACAAATATCCAACTGGTTGAGGAACCATAAACATAAAAACGACATCTATTGTATGAGGTGAACTGAAGATCGCCAAATTCCTTAACTTGTGCTCTCAATCACTTACCATATGTGGCAGCTGGATATTAGCTAGACTATGAATTAAAGACTGGCTTAAATTGGCCAGTTCATGAAGAAGAGACTCATTTTGCTGTTCAATTACTTTGTTCTCCTCTTCTATCGTCTTCAAGTTGCTCTCCATTGTGGTAATCTAAAATGGACAAATTTGTGTACAATGTAATATAAGGCAAGCCGTTATAAAGCATGCGTTCTTGAAGTGAGTGATAACAGTAATATAAGAACAAAAAAGGGCCTTTTTGTTTAAATAAAAAGGTTTCACTTGTTTATAATTTTTTTATAATTTTAAGAGGTTTTTCTGCTATGTACAACTGCAAATTATATGACTTTATTTTAACGGCTTGTCTTTTCTATGGTGGAAGTACTGATTTACCTTACATTTGATTGTACTGGCTTTGTATCAATTTAATATGTTTAAAATAAATATCCTTTTGTATTTAAAGGCACTTATAAGGGCCTCAAACTTGCAAGCTGATTCACGTGGACCCCAGCTGAAATCAATGGAGGCACCATATGGGTATAAGAATCCACCTGTATCCATGAGGTTGCAGGATCAGGGCTAGTGTGAGTAGATGATACATTTATCATATTTTTGTAGTATATGCCATATTAACTAAGTGTGCACAATCCTTTGCTGTCACCATTTGGCTCTTTGGAATTATATTTGCATTCAACCTATACTGCCCAATGAATATTCTCACAGAACTGCCAGTGAAAGCTAAAGAATTACACATTGTTGCACAATAGGTACAGCAAAATAATCGGGTAAGTGTGTCTTAGTACTATTCTTTTCTATATTTTTATGTTTTGCCTTATGTTACTAACAGCTTTCAATGTTTGTGTTTAATGACAAACAAAATGAAGTTTGCTGTATTTTATTAGCAATATATTTGTTGTTGTGTGGCCTTTATAAATATTCTCTAAGATGTAAAGGACTTAAAGACAGAACTTACGACATTTGATTACTGTCTCAAATAGGTTGAAATTCAGGAAAAGAAACTGTGTGTTGCATAAAGATGAAGTGGTCTATATAAGTAACTTACTGGATGTGAGACTGATATAAATACAGTGGTCACACTTACAAGATGTATTCCATTTGGAGAGATATTAGCATTTCCAACAGTGTTCCCCATTTTAAGTATACTGTTCAAACCTTTAGAATCTTTCTAAAATGAAGAAACTTTTAAAGCGTGACCAGTGTACATGGCTATTTAAATTCCATGACATAGGGCAACTCATCTCTTACCAAGTGTAAAATGTGTGTGTGTATAGGGTAAGATGTACATTGGCAAGAGGGTAGAAAATGAAGCCAAAGAAGCAGAAAAGAGGACAGAGAGTCAAATTCTCAAAGTGACAGTCACTTGGCTCTAATTTGACATCCACAATTAACTGCCGGTATAATAAATTATAGGAAAAAATGATAGACTTTTGATGTGAACTATCTCATTTGTCAGCACAAACAGTATGGAGGTCTGAAGGGGAGAAGATTTTTATGTGAACATCAGATGAGCTTGGTCAGTATATTTTAACAGGTTTGCTGGCACAATCAGACAGTTAGATGCCTCAAGTCTATCACTGTGGATTGTGGATTTTTGATAATTTGGTCTGTAACATTAATTGATAAAAGCAAATCTTTTCTTAAGAGCTTGGTGCACACATAAGACTAGCTGTCAAGTAGGTTTGACTTTGACTACTGATATTTATGCAGCAGATAATCCAAGCTGAGACACACATTGTCAATATTACAGGGGAATGTTTCTTCGGGATGAATAGTTCTCGAACTATTTCTCCAGCATGCTGCAATAGGCACAAATAGGTTTTACTTTAACACAGAGAATGGAAAGACATTCCTGTTGCTATGTTTTCAATTTGTGTATGTCAGAGACCAGGCCAAGCACATGCCCTAAACTCATGCTCTTTTTGGACTCCAGTGCTAAAGAGCCAGTCCTACTACATATGTGTAACTTTGTGTTTGCTTTTTTTAATTCTTCTTAGCTAAGGTCAGTCATATTCCAAGTCATTATGTTTAATATTCATCCTTACATTTTTTAACATCAAAAGTAATAACTGGAGTCAGAGTATTGACCTCTTACATCAAATATAATTAGGGCCCAGTCCTGGGAGGTGCTGAGAGCCATCAACTCCTATTGACTTCAATGGGAGTTGAAATTTCACAGTCTCATAGGATTGATCCTTTAGGTGGTTGAGGACTGTTATCTGATAGATTTTTCCTCTTGGGCTAAACACTGAGAGATGCCGAGCACCTGAAACTGCATTGATTTTTGTGACGTTCCAGGTAATCAGCACCTCTCAGGATTTAGCACACTGTTACTTTCATAAGATATCTGAAATGTAATTGGTACCATTAGTTACGGCTCATATCAACTGACTTTTCATTTTTATTTTCAGTGTATAAATTAAGTAAAGTTACAGAACAGAAACTGCTTTCTATATTATAAATTTTCTTTTACATATTTCCCAATTTATATAATGAATTTTGTTTGAAATCTACATAACACAATGTATTTTTTATAATAGTATATATTTTGTTAAGGTTAATGTTAAACTTTTATTGCCCAATACAGTACATATTGACTGTGATAGTCTTAATGACCTTAATGAGTTGATAAAGACCTTAAGCTATCTGAGTGATTTGCCCCACCAGATCTGTCCTTTTGAAATGAAAACTCATTTTCCTTTGGAGAACACAACAGTTTGAGAGTGTGACCCCTGAATTATTGTGAAGTCTGATTTTGTTGGGATTCTCCATTAGATGTCAATAGTTTTAGTGACAGTAAATATTTGTCATCAACACTTTTACCCCCTTTCCAAGTCTGTGTCACATCAAAATGTGCAATAGATCCCTTGAACATTTCCTAAGAATATGCAGTGGTCTAAATCCTCCAAACGAACTGGTTCTCCCCAACTTGATCCATTACCCTGTTTCCTAAGAGTGTACAATGGAACCAGTTTGAGAAGTGAAAGCTAGAAATAGTGTAGAGATTGTGTGTTTATTGTGTTGATACAAGTCTCCACCTAAAAGCCCTGATCCTACAAGTTCTTTCACACAAGAATAACTTTACGCTTGTGAGTAGCAGTATGATTATTTGAATACTGAGGGTGTTTCAGTTTTTTATTTAATTTTTCTATACGGCCATAATGTATTAGGTATTCATCCAGAAATCCAAACACTTGAGGCAGGTTACAGGATGAGATCTGGCCTAACGAATACTGGAGTGCCCAGATGGAAGGCATTTAAAAAAAAAAACACTTGCAAAAAGCCCTGTAAGTCTTAATGTGGACTGTACCTACTACACCTGATTGATATCAAACTGTGGGGAGACAAAGCATCATAAACTGCACTAGATATGAGAGCCGGTTGGAAAATGTAATTTCAATGGAAAGCAAATGAACCCCTACCCCATTTTCTATCCATCTACAGAAGTGGTCAAAAACCTCAACAAAAGAGATTTTCATGAAAAAGAGAAATGAAAATGTTCACAGTATAGTTCTCCATTTTCTGACCAATTCCTGTGGACCCCAAATAGGATGAAGCTGGGATATGGAGTCCTTTCTAACCAATCAGTGGTCTGGTGCAGTTGCCACGGGGAGTGCTATACAATATTACAGGTGTAGCAATTGCTGCTTCTATGTGTACTCCTTCTGCAACCAGAATGCCCTGGCCACTGCTGTGTTCTCCATCTACTAATGCCATGATTTAGCTGTCTGAGTATTTAACAGATACAAAGGTTGTATAAAATCTTATAAGAAGGAAATGCAAAGGTGGCTATTTAGCCATGACTTTCAGTTTTTAAAACTGGTGGCCACTGTGGTGGGAAATAACTACTCAACAGCACCACAGATACTGTTTTCTAAGCTTACAAATGTAAATTAAGAACATATGAAATGTGAGCAAAAATGTGAGAGAAAACAATTTTTCCAAAGACAATTTTTCTTTTGATCAATCACGTGTAAAAAGTAGCTAAATTTAAGGCTTCATAAAACTGTTACCTGAGTTCTGAGTTTAATCATATCAGCTTCCATCTGGGAATTGGATTCATTTAGTTCCTTGATTTCTTCATCTAGCTGCTTAATTTCTTCATCATTTTCTATACCTATGCAATATAAAAATAAAGGAGATATTAAAATAATTAAGCTATAAATCTGTGTTCTGCAACTGAGACATTTCATATTTGAAATTAAACTTATTAAAGTAAAAAATTCAGAAACACTAAGTCTCATCAAACTTCCCATTTGAAGTTAAACCCATATATTTCCCATCGTGTCTCTTTTAAGAACTGTGGTAATTTTCCAATGAGAATGGTAGAAACAGCTTAAATATACTGATTATGGCTTTGCATTATTAAAAATGTACCTCTACTAATGAATTCTGCTGCATTGTCACACTTGACCTTTTAAAAAAATACTGGCAATGTCTCTTGTCCTTTTAAGGAAAGAAAAAATATCCTAACAAGGCAATAGTTTCAAGTCACAATTATCCCAAAATCACTTGCTCGTATAATCAGGGGAAATGTTTCACAACACAGAAAAACTGTAAAATACCACTGTCAATCTGGACCACCTGCAGCCTCTGCCACCTCCATAGTTCATTACCTAATGGTCATTACCGAATGACCTAGGGTAACATGTTCAGAAGTGTTCAGGTGACTCAGGAGTCTACGTCCTATTTTCAAAAGTTACTTAAGCATTTAGGAGCCAGATTTTTAAAGGTATTTAAAAGACACAGATAGGTGCCTGCTGGGATTTTCAAAAGCACCTATATGCCTAATTCACAATAATTTCAGTGGGAGTTAGGCACTTTAGAAAACCCAATAGGTGCCTATATGTCTCATTATGCACCAGAGCACCTAACTGCCTAAGTCCAACATTTAGGCACCATTGGCATTCCAAAACTTCTTCTCAGCTGCTGCCTAACATTGGAGGTACCTAAATTTCAGCAACTGGACATGCACTCTGTTGCCTAAATCCTGACATTTCTAACACACCTAACCCAGTGGGATTAACACTGCCTATCTTCCCTTTGGGGTCTGATCCAGTAGGCATGTTCAGTAAGGAAGTAAAGTCCATTTTTTCATGTCTAAATGCTGGTGACATCATAGCAGAATTTTTGGAAGTCTTCCTGATCCATCGCTAACTTCACGCACTCATCAACTGATCTCTCCGTGATCTGCCACACACCATCTATCCATCTCCTCGCTGATCATCCCCTTGTATGATGACCCACCACCATTCCTTCCATGATAACTTTCTCGAGGATATTCCCATCTCTGTGCCTGGTGTGACCAAAGTACATAAGTTCGCTTTTATTGATTTCTAAGAGCAGAGTCTGCTTCTCTCCAATAATATTTCTAACATAAGTGTTCATCTTTTCTGTCCAGGGATGGGGCCCCACTGGCAAGATAGGTGTTTTCTCACTGAGAAACTTTTGGGCCTCTGGGGCTTTGGGTTGAGCTAGGGCTCTGAGCAGCTTATTAGTTGTGAGGCAAGGTCAGGGTTTAGGCAGCTTTGCAAAGGCTGAATGGTGGAAACTTAGCGCCAGGGGGACTTAGATGTGAACAGAGTTAGGCAGCAACTGAGTGGTGGCTTTGAAAATGTCAGTGGTGCTTACATGGAGTACTGAGGTGCCTAAAGAGGCAGATAGATGCCGAAGTATATTTAAGGAACTGGGCCTTTTGAAAATGGGACTTGGACTCTTAAGTAATTAGGTACTTTTGAAAATGTTACCTCTACAGCCCATTCCTTACCCATTGAAATTAATAGCAAAACTCACTGATTTCACCAGGAGTAGGACTGGGCACCTCACTGATGGATATTGGTCTAGCTTCCTTCCTGTTCACAACACTGGAATGCTTTATTAAAGTTTGTAATGAACTACATCCATCGGTAGATGTGGGTTATAGGTCTTTGTCATTCATGCTGTTTCTGTCTGTGACAGTAGATACTAGAAAGCCCAAGACTGAATTATTGCGCTGGTTTATATTTTTAAGTTTTTGGTATTAATTACTATTGGTCTTGTATCTTCTTTGGTGACTCAAATTGCCCAAAGGAGATCCCTTTTGAGTCCTATTTAATTCTGTATTTATGTGCTTGCTATGTGATCACCAGATCCTCAGCTGATGTAAAGTCATGTAGCTCCATTGGCTTCAGTGGCGCTATGCTAATGTACACCGAGGATCTGGTCCTAAGTGTCACAACTAGATGGATGTCAATCCCTGTTGACCAAGGAATTTCTGTATTGCATGATCATCAGAGGAATTATAGTTTGCGTAGTCAGTAGCTTTCTTGAAGAGAAATGCAATTAGACTAAATGGCTACAGGTACATATAACATTGATCATCACATTTCTCTTTGTTTTTCCAGTGGCTGGGGTGGAGATCTTTTTAATTCAGGAATCTTCCTTTTACATATGTCTTTACTGGACACACTATAAAAAGTTATATTTCTCTAACCTCTCCAAGCTGTATCTCCACACAGGGGCAAAAAGGGCCAGATTTTTAAATATTGTTGCTACTGTATACACATTGTTCTGTACAACCTTCTCCAACTGTCCTTTAACCAAACCACCCATGCCTGACACACTAGTTTACTCATCAACCTTCCCTTCTGCACATCCCCTTCACAAAACTCCCCCATCATGACATTACTGGTTGCAGATGCTAGGTGTAGTAGTTTGGTGTATGGGAAGGGGTCGTTTGGTAAAGATGTGCAGGAGAACTGAGTCTGTGGTAGTTGTGATAGTGATAAGGCACATGCCTGTGAATGGAGGAGCAGAGAGTATGCATTATTAGATTGCTCGACTTTTTATTTCCTTATTTTGTGAGTTTTTGTCAGGTATGTGATATATCAGGTAACACAGCCTTTTGTGTGTTGATTTCTTAGGGGTTTGTATGTTAAAGATGTCCAACTCACACATAAATTCCCACTATTCCCATTTCTCTTTTTACTCAAGAGCTCCCCTAGGCTAATGACCTTCCTGTGGCTTGTCACCTAGGAGATCCCACCTGTGGTGAAGCATGTCAGGCCCAGGGGCTAGCTCAGTAACAGTGCTCCAGTTATCTAGGGAGGCTGCTCACCAGCATCCCCATGCTCCTACCCCTGTAGTTTTTATGGGTAAGGATATGTATGAGATAGGGTCAGGGAGATTAAGAAACTGGCAGGCAAACTCCATTGACAAGCTCCATTACTGAGCCAGCCCTTGGATCTGACAAAGCTCACTCAGTTTGCTACAGGGGGAACTACTCTGTGACAAACCATGGGAAGTTTTCTGGCTTGACCACTCTGAGGCAGGTTGTTGTGAAGGAAGTTTAAGTTGCCCTCAGCAAAGATGGCCACTGCTGTCCATAGTCAATGAGAGTGACCCTTATGAAAGATGTCCTTGCCGTCAGGAGGCAGCGAGGGGCACTATTAAGAGAAGCTGAACATAGGGGTATAGAGAAAGCAGGAGTGAGACACTGGCCTCTCTGTGTGATGAGGAATGTAGAGTACAGCTGAAGAATATGGGGTATGTGTGCAGGAGGGAGTCTCATAGGGCAGCGGAGTAGGAGAGGTAGGTGTGAACCTGAATGGGCAGGGAAAAAAGAAGTAGGAGGGAGAATGTTATGGATAGGAGACTGTGAGGGGAAAAGCACGACATACATGAAAGACAGAAGACAATGGAGGAGCTTGGAGGGAGAATGTAAGTGGGGCAGGGAGGATAGATAGGAGGCAGGATAGTGATTGGGGGTAGGGGACGAGGAGGACAGATTGGCAGCGCCTCCACCTAAAGAGTTTGGAGAGGGTACGTGGAGTCTCCCTCCAGGCAGCCAGTGGGGAGGCACACATTTTTTGCTTGTGTGTTAAAGGTTGATTTTTGAACCTGATCATACACAAATTGCAGGTAGACAGCTCTCCCTAGAGGCTCAAAAAAACAGAAGACACTAAAAAGAAAATAAGTGATTTTTTTAAATCTCATGATTTTTAAACCAATCTCATGCCCTCGTACACACTTAATTACAATCTTTCTGATGGATGGGGTTTCTCTTGGTATGTTTGATTAATGATATTTTGCCACCAATAGATTACACATATCTTTAATGTGTCTTGCAGACACCAATACAGTTGACTATTAATGTGATAACTCTATATTCATTACATTTGTAACAACAAATTAATTCTGGATTTTTTTAAGACTACTCCCCACTTCTCCCAAGTTCTAAAAGAACTCTGATGACTCTCCCATTTTTTCCTGACTATAGCCCTCCCCTTCACACCTTTGAAGCGTCATAGCCTTTATTCTTCCAGCTAATGAGGTGTGCAGGGGATTCTTTCTGGAGCCAATCAAGCTGCTTCTTAATTTCATAGTTCCAATTTGGGATATTTTAACTGCTTTGTAAATGAAGAGGTCCCGTGTAGTGATTATTATTTATTATAGGCTCCTTTATACTGTGGTAGTGCTTAGAGGCCAACCAAGTCAGGTCCCCATTGCGCTAGAGCCTAGATCCTTAAAGGTATTTAAGCACCTCCCACTGAAATCAACAGGAGTTAGGTGCCTAACTACCATTGAGGATCTGGGATTGGGAGATGTATAAACATATAACAAATGACAGTCCCTGACCTAATGAGATCACAGTCTAAATGGCAAGACATACTAGATGTATGAGACAAACAATTGGACTGGGATTAGGGGAGACAGGGTAACAAAATCATAGGCTGTGTGCAATTCTTACCCAGTCAGGAGCAATAAACACAAATTGTCACCTGGCTAGCTGTTAACAGATGGCAACATTCCATAAGCATTAAGGAAGTGGTAAATTTTGAGAAGGGACTTGAAGGTGGAAAAGGTGGCAGCTTTATGGATTTTGGATGGCAGTTTATCACATGTGTAAGGAATGAGATTAATGGTTCAGGAAAAATAAGCACCTCTCATTAAATTCCAAACTTAAAGAGGTGTTGCAACTGTGTTGGTCCCAGGATATTAGAGAGACAAGGTGGGATATTAAAGAGACTTCTGTTGGTGAGAGATACAAGCTTTCAAACTCTCTCACCAACAAAAGTTGGTCCAATAAAAGATATTATCCATCTTGTCTCTCTAAAGTTTAAAAAGTACTTTCCCTTGGATTGTATACGAACTGCTGAAAGTGCTTTTCATGCAACTCCAACATGGCTGGGATGTTGGATGTAATGCAGCTTTATGATATTGCTTGACCAGTATTTGTCCTGGAGCACAACTGCAGGAAGGTAGAAAGTAGTTTTGTATAGTTTTCCATTGGTCAACAGGTTCCGAGCCAGGAATGTGGGCCTCCAGATTGGCCAGAGGATTTCCTGAAGATGATTAGCACAAGGCCCTCTGGATCTGACTTTCAGAAGTGCTGAGCACCTACAATTCCAATTGAAACCAGTGGGGGTTGGGTGTGCTCAGCACTTCTGAAAATCAGGTCCCCTCCTCTTCTGAGCAGTTGAGCAATGTGAGACCCACTGGCCCACCTTGGAGCATCAGACTTGAGTCAGAAAAAACATAGCATTTTATTATATTGGGAAATATTTACACAGCTACCCCTGTGTAAATCCAGAATCTCCTCAATAAAGCCAATAGAGTTTTTCAGGTTTTCTCTGGTGTAACTCAGGCCAGAATCTGACCTACTGTATTTCTGGCTCAGGCTTCAATAGCATGGACGTCAGTTGCATTGCTTTCTAAAATGATCTCGTTCATGATATACACTAAGAAAGACTTATAAAAAGGCCCACATAGCAATGTGTCTTTTATCTTGCAAAGAGGTAATATTTAAAAGAGAATGATTAAAATTTTACCATTACTGGCCCGTTGCTTTATTGTTAGCATCTGTTCTCCAGACAGCTTTGCTTTCTTCATGGCGGAAGTGGCTCTGGGGCATCCTGATAGACTGTGAATGATAAGAAAATAAAGAGCCTATTAAATTGTAATAGATCAAGACAATAAATTTGTCAACTAAAACTGTCATGACAATAACATCTGAGAAGAAGTTTATCTCCACTCTGCACCAAAATGACAGGGTACCTGGTTATGAAAGAGAGGGAGGAGCTTCATAAATGATTTTTTGGTTTTATTTTTCTGCCGCCACCTCTTTTTGAATGTGCAGATTATATATAAATCCAAGGAAATGCATTTTATGTACAAAATCTAAACTAAGAAAAGAACAATGCAGCCTTTTAGCGACGTGGTACCCATAAAAAACCTACCTTCTAAAAAGGGTTACTGCTTAAATGCTCCATTTAAACAAAACACTATCTGCCCTACTCCTTTCAACTCAAAAACCCAAACACAGGAACTCTGAATTTCAAGGACTGAGGGAACTGGCTAGCTCTAATTGTGTCTTTAATAACGAGCTCTTTTGAATGACTAGCCCTTTTTAAGTATGCTCATTTTTATAGATATAACCTATTCCTATATTTGAATTGTTCTTTTTCTAAATTGCTTTTTAAAACATGTAAATTACTTTGGATCAGATTTTTGTTTGGACTTTGGAAAAGTGCATTCCCAACCTACGATGAGACCTGCATGTAAAATGAGATTTAACACTGTATTTCAGGGTTCACTCCTCCACTATCTCATTCTATGTACAGAGTCCTAGACACTATTTTGGGGACAGGTGTTCTATATACTAATACATGAAATACATACAAATAATTATTTAAATATTTTCTTGAAATGTGGAGAATTTTGATGAAGACAATTAAGAACAGCAATCCATTTAAAACTGAAAGAATTAGAAGTATGAGGCAATTTTTCTATATACAACTACAATCCCAACAGAATTTCAATTCAGCATCTCTGAAATGTAGGACAAACCATTTATCCAGTTAAGCTTATACAGTCGTTGATTAATACCCATAGTAATGCAGAGGTACTGTATTATATTGGGCATCTCAGAAATCCATTCAGCCAAGATACAATATCCCTTACTGATCAATTTTCAGTTAATCAGCAGTTCCCACCATTTGCAGTTGTGATCAAAAAAATATGGAAACTCAGATTTAATTGTTGGCCAAAAAAACCCAACAATCCACTAGTATTTAGACATCTGACGGTCTCAGACTTTAAAAAATTGTAGGTGAAATCCTGGCCCAACTCAAGTTAATAGCAGTTTTGCCACTGAATTTAGAGGGCCAAGATTTCACCATGTATTTTTTAAAAAGTGTCCCTAAGTGTGGTACATTTAAAAGTGTGCCTACATTCCCCAAATGTTGAACTGTCTCTCATATTATGCTCATCTTCTAATCACACCATGCAAAAGAATACGTCATCAGAATGCATTCTAATTGTTCTATTCTGGCAAAGGATGTTGGGCCAGATTGTGCTCACACTCAGCAATTAACTGTGGCACAAAACTATTCCCAGTCTCAAAAATCCTGTCCTTAATATGGCACCGTGTAGTAGAATCGGCAGGAGAAAAAAAATGTCTAACGTCATTATAAGCTGGAGTATTATGTTCCCATTTCTGTCAGTCTTTAAAAGCAGAGGACATTCTGAAATGTTTCCAAAATCAATTCTACATTCTTTCAGCACAAACATATTCAAGATTTAATAACACATTTCAACTCTAGATTCCACAGGTTACATATATTCTTCTGCATACTGTGAAATTTGCACTTTGTTCCCAAGACTAGAGTGGACTGTTTCTACAGTTTTTTAATTGTTCACATGTCAAGCTTAAATGCAGAATCATAGAATATCAGGTTTGGAAGGGACCTCAGGAGGTCATCTAGTCCAACCCCCTGCTCAAAACAGGACCAATTCTCAGCTATATCATCCTAGCCAGGGCTTTGTCAAGCCTGACCTTAAAAACCTCTAAGGAAGGAGATTCTACCACCTCCCTAGATAACCCATTCCAGTGCTTCACCACCCTCCTAGTGAAATAGTGTTTCCTAATATCCGACCTAAACCTCCCCAACTGCAACTTGAGACCATTAATCCTTGTTCTGTCATCTGGTACCACTGAGAACAGGAAAGATCCATCCTCTTTGGAACCCCGTTTCAGGTAGTTGAAAGCAGCTATCAAATCCCCCCTCATTCTTCTCTTCTGCAGACTAAACAATCCCAGTTCCCTCAGCCTCTCCTCATAAGTCATGTGCTCCAGCCCCCTAATCATTTTTGTTGCCCTCCGCTGGACTCTTTCCAATTTTTCCACATCCTTCTTGTAGCGTGGGGCCCAAAACTGGACACAGTACTCCAGATGAGGCCTCACCAATGTCGAATGATCACGTCCCTCGATCTGCTGGCAATGCCCCTACTTATACAGCCCAAAATGCAGTTAGTCTTCTTGGCAACAAGGGCACACTGTTGACTCATATCCAATTTCTCATCCACTAGAACCCCTAGGTCCTTTTCTGCGGAACTGCTTCCTAGCCATTCAGTCCCTAGTCTGTAACAGTGAATGGGATTCTTCCGTCCTAAGTGCAGGACTCTGCACTTGTCCTTGTTGAACCTCATCAGGTTTCTTTTGGTCCAATCCTCTAATTTGTCTAGGTCCCTCTGTATCCTATCCCTACCCTCCAGCGTATCTACCACTCCTCCCAGTTTAGTGTCATCTGCAAACTTGCTGAGAGTGCAGTCCACAACATCCTCCAGATCATTAATGAAGATATTGAACAAAACCGGCCTCAGGACCGACGCTTGGGGCACTCCACTTGAAACTGGCTGCCAACTAGACATGGAGCCATTGATCACTACCTGTTGAGCCCGACGATCTATCCACCTTTCTACCCACCTTATAGTCCATTCATCTAGCCCATACTTCTTTAACTTGCCGGCAAGAATACTGTGGGAGACCGTATCAAAAACTTCGCTAAAGTCAAGGAATAACACATCCACTGCTTTCCCCTCATCCACAGACCCAGTTATCTCCTCATAGAAGGCAATTAGGTTAGTCAGGCATGACTTGCCCTTGGTGAATCCATGCTGACTGTTCCTGATCACTTTCCTCTCCTCTAAGTGCTTCAGAATTGATTCCTTGAGGACCTGCTCCATGATTTTTCCAGGGACTGAGGTGAGGCTGACTGGCCTGTAATTCCCCGGATCCTCCTTCTTCCCTTTTTTAAAGATGGGGACTACATTAGCTTTTTTCCAGTCATCCGGGACCTCCCCCGATTGCCATGAGTTTTCAAAGATAATGGCCAATTGCCAATCACATCCGCCAACTCCTTTAGCACCCTCGGATACAGCGCATCTGGCCCCATGGACTTCTGCTTGTCCAGTTTTTCTAAATAGTCCCGAACCACTTCTTTCTCCATAGAGGGCTGGTCACCTCCTCCCCATGCTGTGCAGCCCAGTGCAGCAGTCTGGGAGCTGACTTTGTTCGTGAAGACGGAGGCAAAAAAAGCACTGAGTGCATTAGCTTTTTCCACATCCTCTGTCACTAGGTAGCCTCCCTCATTCAGTAAGGGGCCCACACTTTCCTTGACTTTCTTCTTGTTGCTAACATACCTGAAGAAATCCTTCTTGTTACTCTTAACATCTCTTCCTGCTGCAACTCCAAGTGTAATTTGGCCTTCCTGATTTCACTCCTGCATGCCTGAGCAATATTTTTATACTCCTCCCTGGTCATTTGTCCAGTCTTCCACTTCTTGTAAGCTTCTTTTTTGCATTTAAGATCAGCAAGGATTTCACTGTTAAGCCAACCTGGTCGCCTGCCATATTTACTATTCTTTCTACACATCGGGATGATTTGTTCCTGCAACTTCAATAAGGATTCTTTAAAATACAGCCAGCTTTCCTGGACTCCTTTCCCCCTCATGTTATTCTCCCAGGGGATCCTGCCCATCAGTTCCCTGAGGGAGTCAAAGTCTGCTTTTTTGAAGTCCAGGGTCCGTATTCTGCTGCTCTCCTTTCTTCCTTGTGTCAGGATCCTGAACTCGACCATCTCAAGGTCACTGCCTCCCAGGTTCCCATCCACTTTCGCTTCCCCTACTAATTCTTCCCGGTTTGTGAGCAGCAGGTCTAGAAGAGCTCTGCCCCTAGTTGGTTCCTCCAAAACTTGCACCGGGAAATTGTCCCCTACACTTTCCAAAAACTTCCTGGATTGTCTGTGCACTGCTGTATTGCTCTCCCAGCAGATATCAGAACCAGTACAGCAGTTAATTTTTCTCCTTAATAACCTAGGTATGTGCAATATGGAACCAATTTCCGGGGGATATGGTAGCTTCTCCATTACTTGGATTTTTTAAATAAAGACTCTATTTCTTACTACAAGATATGCTCCAGTTCAACCACAAGTTATCAAGCTTGATCCAACAATCATTAGGTGAGGTATGGCATGTGTCCTGCAGGAGGTCAAACTAGATGATTGTATTTGTTCCTATTGATCTTAAAACCTATGATTTTCCAACACTGACGTTCACTCATTAAAATATACTACTCTGAATGGTCTGAATTATCACATCTACAAGGTTTTGAATTATTATTATTAAGCAGAACTGAACAGGGACAATTCCCCCCCCCCCCAAATTACAATTTTTAACCCCATTTTCCTTCAATATTTTCAAAACTGATTTTTGCCGGTTCTATTATTGAAATAATATATAATAATAAACTATGGCTATTATTATCAGTGTGATCTAGTGGATAGAGCTCTAGGCTGGGAGGCAGGAAACCTAGGTTCTGTTCCCAACTCTGCCACTGACCTGCTGCGTGACCTTAGACAAATCACTTTACTTCCCTTGCTCTCTCCTTGATTTGTTTTGTTTATTTAGAAGTAAACTTTTCAGGACAGGGACTGTCTCTAGTTATGTATGTCACAGTTCCGGGTTAACAGTACCCCTGTCTCCTTTGTGGTCTCCTCCAGGGTACCCCTTTACATCTCAGGACTCCAGCAATCACTGCTCTCCCTCACCCTCTAAATAGGGGATTTAGGCTTGCAGTCCCCAC